CCGTTTGCCCCTTGGTGCATTCATAGACTTGGTTTGGTGTTGTTGTTGCTTTTTGCTTCCAGTAACTCATTACAAGTTTGTTGGTGTGTGAGAGAGCTTGTTTTGCATGAATGAATAATTATGCTGAGCTGCAGTAGCGCCAACAACAACAGCGGCAAAATGTACAATGAAATCGTAATACAACGCATTAAATGCATCGTAAAAGTAGTACTCTCGTAAAAATGTGTGTAAAAAAATTTGTAAGTATGTGTCGTGGTTATCGCGTCGGCGTTGCGAAGTAAAAAGTTTAATTCATAAAAATGTTGAAGGCATTTTAGTTTGAGTGAATGGAACCCTTTAAGGCGACTGAAGGGCGTTTTGAAGGGAGTCGTCTCTGTAGACGACTGAAGGGAATTTCTATAGAGGGTTGAAAAAGTCTCTATAGAAAAAAGTCTACACAGACCCTAAATATGGACATCAACGAAGGAGTGAAAATCAGTCTCTATAGGCGATTGGACTGGACATATATTTGGTATATAGACTACTGAAAAATGAGTCTCTATAGACTACTGGAAAAGGAGTCTCTATAGACAACTGGAAAAGGAGTCTCTATAAACGACGGGGGGTTTCTTTAGACGACTGAAAAGGAGTCCTTACAGTCTGGAAAAGGAGTCTCTGGAAAGCTGTCTGTCTACTAATAGACATCTACAGGGTTGCCCATATTCGACGGACCCATCTGGCAACGCCATAACTTTTGACAGAGATGTCACATCGCTTAATGACATACCGCGTTCGAAGCGTCAGTCCAAGCATATTTTTACCATGAACCAATACACGCCACGCGACCGCTCTGAAATAGTTGAAATTTACATTCAACAGAAGAAGTCAATTGTGAAAACTCAACGTGCTTTTAAAACATTAAAAGTGTGAGAAGTGCGCCTTCTAAGAACACCATTAAGCGTTTATACGAAAAATTTTCGACTGGTAAGTCTCCTTCTAATCCGAAGAGGTCATATAAAAGTCGACCAAGGCGATCGGCCGAGAATATCGCTGCCGTACGAGCCAGTATTGAGAGGTCTCAAGAACATCCCAAAAACGCCGTTCTCAGCAGTTGGGCATGGCTCGGTCCACTTTACAACGGATTATTCGCATTGATTTGCATTTGTTCCCCTACAACATTCAATTGACGCAAAGAATGTTGCCTGCGGACAAGCCTCGTCGATTGGAATGGGCCCAAAGGGCCCAAAGGTCCGTCGAATATGGGTGAATGAGAAAAGAAAACCAACCGAATGGTTTGGTTGTTGATTCAGTTCTGTTTTGGATCCTGCTCGGAGGATCAATGTTTTTAATGATAAGAATAGAGTCCAATCTCCCTCTTCGATTTCCAACTCTATTCTGTGTTCGGTGAGAAAAGAAACACGACCGCTTCGTTAGGGTGCTATTTCAGTTCTGTTTTTATTTAAAAAATATGTTTCTTAAGTGCTACTGAAACTAATCTAACTTAACCTAATCGCAGCCACACAATTATTCTTATCTATTCTAATACTGAATGGAGAACATTGCAGGGCTGCTTGTCATTTCATTCAAGTGGTCTTGTGCATCTACTGAGCGCATCGATATCTGTGCGTGTGGGTCATAGCCTTTATTATCTCACACATTATCGTATGCGTCAGCGCACAAGATCACCGAATTGTTCACTGTGGTGTTTTATGGCGGCTGGGAAATATGTAATTTTAGAATATTTATTGATTATTGCTAGATTTTCTCAGCGCCTCAACCGCACTCAAAAGTATGTACAAAGTATTTTGTACAATGGGCAACCCTGTAAATATGAGTTTTTTAGACAAATATTAGTATTTGGAAGGAGTCTCTATAAATGTGCTTTTGAAAATAAGTCTCCAAAATCGATTGAAACGGAGCCTCAAAGAGGGCTGAAGGTTTACCGAAAATAAGCCATTATAAGCAGCTGGAAAAGAGATTCTATGAATAACTAAAGAAAGTTAAGATATTCCCTATCTAGTCCAGAGAAGGGATATTATATACACACGAGAGTCATTGAGTCCTATTGAAATTTCATGGTTATTCTAATCAGTGCTCTAATTTGCTCTACTACTTATGAGTAAAAAATTTTTTACTTTTGTTTCATGTGAGAGCACACGTGAGTACTCTTGTTTTAAAATAAGAGTGGGAGTTAGAATGTTCGAAATAGAGAACAAGTAATTTTTGATGTTGCAGCGGACTAAACACATGTAGTTGACAATGCTTTTCGACAAATAAAATTATAGACACAACTTAAAGAGTCCTCGGCAATTTAGAATTTGTATGATTTGGAGTGGGAGTTATGTGGGCTCAAAATTGAGGAGGTTTCAGTGTACTTTCTTATTGTACTGTACACTCTTATTTTGGTGTCATCGGAAACTAGAGTATATTTGATTGCTTAATTCTAAACATAAGAGTAGAAAAGCAGTTTCACAATGTTAAGAGAGAGAGAGAGAGAGAGAGAGAGAGAGAGAGCGAGAGAGAGAAGTTGCATATAGTAAAACATGTAAGAAAACATTAAGTTCGGCCGGGCCGAACTTTTAATACTCTCCACCTGTACAAAATACTTTGTACATACTTTTGAGTGCGGCTGAGGCGCTGGGAAAATCTAACCATTAAAAATAAATATTTAAAAATTGTCAATTTCCCAGTGGTCATAAAATATCACATGTGTACAATTCAGTGATCTTGTGCGCTGTCGCATACGATAATGTGTAGGATAATAAAGGTCATAACCCACACACACAGATATTGATGCGCCAGTAGGTAGCCAAGATCACTTGAATGAAGGGACACGCAGCCATGTAATGTTTCCTTTTAAATCTAATAATAGATAAGAACAATTGTGTGGCTGCGACTAGGTTAAGTTAGATTAGTTTCAGTAGTACGTAAGGAACATATTTTAAAAATAAAATTAGAATTGAACCAACAGCCAGACGATACGGTTGTGTTTTCTCTTCTCCCGCTAACACCACCATTGGTTAAAAAAAAAACACTTTTATATAAAAGTATCAGACTTCAAGCGTATTTCACTTAGGATAACGCAGTTAAACTTATCAAAAAACATAAATTGAGTTAGGCCGTTATATGGGGCCATACCAGAACGGGAACCACCATAAACAATTTTATACTTCTAGGATTGCCATCTATCAAATCTTCTAAAATACCAAATTTGAAACTATTTCATGGGTAATTGTGACTAGGATTATATGGCGCTATAGGAAAACGTAGAACTTGATATTCAATGTTCTGCTACAGGAGCTGGAACCCATATGAACTACAAAAACCAAGTTTTGACAAATCCATGAAAAAATATGGCAAAAATCATCAAAATATCGATTATCCGGAGGTACCATTATGTGGGGGCTATACGAAAACGTGGACCTATATACTATGTTCCGCCACGGGCGCTAGAACCCAAATACTCTTTTTTTGACAAAAGATATGGCGAAAATTATCGAAACACTGAATATCGGGAGGTACCATTATATTGAGGCTATACGAAAACGTGGACCTATATGTACTAGTTTCCTCCATCGGCCCTAGAACCCATTGCGAACTACAAATCCTAATTTTTGGACAAATCCGCGGAAAATGTGGCAACATTTTTTAAAATGCCGAATATCGGGAATTACCGTTTTATACCTAAACCTAAATGTGGGCCAATATACACCATGTTCAGCCACCGGAGCTAAAACCCACTATGATATTCGAATACCAATTTTTAGACAAATCCGTGAAAAAATGTGGCAAAAAAGATCCAAACACTGAATATCGGGAGGTACCGTGAACCGATATGTCTCATTTTCAATTCCAACCATTCTAGATACAATACAAATTGTTCTCAAAATTTTGAAGCTCTATGTCAAACAATGTGAGCTGTACCGTGATTTCAACAAACAGACGGACATAGTTAAATCGACTCAGAATTTTATGCTAATTATGAATATATATACTTTTTGGGATCTACGACGAATATTTAGGGATGTTACAAACGGAATTACAAAGTGGTGGAGGGTGCAACAAGTGAATAACTATAAATCCGACCGGGCCAAAAATTGAATATTCTCCACCATTTGGACGGAACTTGCAAATTTTCAAAAAACAAAAAGAAAAATCCATTGATAATCATAAAAATATCAAAAACAGGGAGTTACCGTTATATTGGGTCCAATACGAAGATGTAGACCTGTATAAGCAATTTTTGTCATAAGTCATTACGATATATAAAGAGGTACCGTTATGTGGGACTATACGAAGACGTAAACCTGTATGAGTAATTTTCTATAATGGGATGTAGTACCCATTCGGAACTACAAATTCCAAATTTAAAACATTTCTCATGAAAAGTATGACACAAATTATCAAAATACAGAAAATCTGGAGGCACCGTATTATGGGGACTATACCAAAAACCTAGACGTATATTGGCAATTCTATGCAAGGAAGTTTCTTACATAATGGCAACACATGCTGATAATTTACATTAAATTTGGGCAACAATAGTGACTAAAACACCCAAGAAAACCCTTAAATCTATTGGTACCATTTTCAATACCAAAAGTTCTGCAACATACAACTGAAACGAGAAAATGCCAGAGAATGATCTGCTAAAAAACCAATACGCTCAGTCTGAAAGTATACAGAGCCAAATCGCATCCAAAATGTTCACATTTCTTCTGTGGAAAACCACACCTCAACTAATAACAGACTTCCGCACCAATGTACGCATACCTGCCCATCCCCTAAGCAGCTATTCCCCTTCAATCTCATAAGTACCTTTTTACAAGTTAGCAGTCCTAGGTCCTAAAAATACATTTATATGTTTCTACTAAATTTTCTAACTGAGTTCAATATGGCGCCCAACTAGGCGTCTTGTACCATAGATTACTTACTTTCTTATATATTTTAAGTTTGTTTATCATTTTTTGTCTAGACTATACTTAGTGATGGTTTATGTGATTGTTTCCCTCTCATTTCAGTATAAATGATATAAAAACTCGCATCAGCAATGCCCTGCAGACGAAAAACTCCGAGGAAAATATTGAATACCCGCTGCATGAAATGGCTGCATATCCGACATGTAATTCGGAGAAGACCGAAGCTTCGTGGCTAAATGATAACAATATAACCATACAATTCTCCAGCACCCTGTTTGAGCAGAAAATGCAAAATCTTAACTTAGATTCGGCCATATTGCGTCTTTTCAAAATCAATCCGAATGACACGCGAGATAATCAGGAACTGGCCAGTGGGGTATCGAATAATGGCGACAACGACGGTGATGATGATGTTTCCGATGATACCACAAAACTAAAGCGATGTGCTGAACCCACACTGGATGCCCAGATACGTGTCACCGTGTCGATTGTCCAGCAAACGAGACGTAATAAACGTGGTGTGTATGGTAATTATTGGACAATTTTAGAGAATGCGATTTTAATTAATTGCATTTCTTTTCTTCTTCTCTTGCCCGCTGTTCTTGCTTGTATGCTTAATCGCTTGTTTTGTTTTCCATTTTTGTTTTTTGCTTTTTCTGCGCTGTGCTGCTTTCTATTACAGAACGTAAGAAGCGCATCTGCAACACCATCATGATGAATGTCTCAACCACGGGTTGGGTGGAAATCGATATTCGCCGTGCCATTTATATTTGGGAGAATGTTGGCAAACAAATGGAACAGAATCAACAGAGCCGTCCTCCTGTCCTGGTGGGCTATCTCATGATTGAAGTTCACGACGAAGAGGAGCAGCCATTAAAGCCAGGTTTATTCTTTAAACCGCCAAGTTGCAATCAGGCAGGTAAGTGTGTTGTTTGCCATAAGTAACTTTTTATTACAACACGAAATGAAGTGAAAGTTTTTGGGAAGAGGGTAGATTGTAAGGATTTGAAGTATTATTTTGGGAGCTACGAAAAGACAACAATTAACTTAATGTAAAATACGAGTAAGACATTAAATTCTTTGGATGTGGATGAACATTTTCAGGTTAGAATACTGAAAATGAGGTGAAGGTTAGAGAAACTAAAAAAATTAATTTCGAAAAATTGTATTTAAGATTCGAAAAGATGAAGACTAGCAGATCAGCCTCACTTCCACTAATTTAAATTCTAGGACCCAATTGAAAGTTCCACTAAAGTCAAGGACTAAACAAACTACATACTTTGGAGAATAGAAAAAGTTGGATGCTGTTAATGTAACGCAAACAAGTGTTGGGTCAATGAAATATTCGTAAATCCATTCAATACAACAAAAACTGTAGTATTTTGAGCTAAAAAAAATTAATCACACTTCTACACCGCAAAGAGAACAAAGTTATCCAATTGAAATGTAAAGACAACACCAAAACCTTCATGGGAGTAAAAGGAATGATTTGAGGCCAAGTCTAAAAATTGAAATATTAGAATTCCATCCAATTTGAAAGACCATTCAACTGCGAAACCGGAACCCACATACATAATATGGAGGGTATATTAAGTTTGTCATTCCGTTTGCAACTTATCGAAATACTCATTTGAGACCCTACAAAGTATATATAGTGTGAGATAAAAAAACTGCAACAAAATCAAACGCCATATTTTTTTTTTTTTTAATTTTATTGAATGAATAGTGCAACGGATTAGTATCCGGAGATTTTGGTGAACATTGTGAGCTAGAAATGAAGCGAGGAACTCCATGGAATGTCCAAAGCTTGCCGCCAAAATGTTTGAGCTAGAAATGAAGCGAGGAACCCCATGGAATGTCCAAAGTCTGCGGTCAAAATGATTGCGCGCCCGGCTTTAATATAACCTTTAGAATATTTTCGCGATAATAGTCGGCATTTATTCTGATGTCACGGTCGATTAATACGATCGGAGAGCGACCATCGGCTGTTATGGCGCCCACACCATCACCATGGCCGGCGCTTGAGCTCTGGTGGCCAACCGAAATTGCACATTTTCAACTGACTTCTTCTTTATAAACTGGACAAGGAATGTTTTCTCATCGGAGGAAACCAAATTCTGCACTTCACAACTTTCGGCCAAGCGAAGCAACTTTTTAGCTCTATTTTCTTGCGGTTGCTGTATAAGTTCTTGCACTTTTTGGAATTTCAAAGGCTTTACCCCGAACTCATTTTAAAATATTTGCTGAATGAATTTCCAGCGCACAATGGCCAACAAAATCTCTGGATTATCGTGTCTGGAATATTTTGAAAAGCAAGGTTAGTGCCAAAAAGTAACAAAGAGTTGATCAAGCGCTTCGCCGGGAATGGGCCAAAATACCGCAGAGCAACAAAATACCGCTGTCCGCGTGTGATGGTTTCATTGGCCGTTTGAAGGCAATAATTCGTGCCAAAGGTGACCAATTCGAACAAATCTAAACTTATTCTAAAATTTGATGCTACTTCCGACATGTTTTGCTTTCATTCTTTAAAATTTAAAAAAATATGGTGTTTGGTTTTTTGCAGTTTTTTGTCTCACCCTGTCTGGATCTTCTTTTCCCAATCCTTACGAAATTTTGCATGGAGGTGGGATTAAAGTCAGAATAGAAGTCTTATGTTGGGAGTGAGGATCGGAGAATATTTAGGGGTTAAAATATATCAACAACAGCAAAACATATTGGTTTTGTAGTTGCACTAGAGATCACAATTACAGATCAATCTATTCTGAATTTTGTATGGGACTAGAGTTTAGGGCTGGTCATGAGCTTATCTATTTTGGGGGTTATCGAACGATATTCAAATGTTGAAATAGACCATAAATTTTATGTAAAAACTAGTAAAGAAAGTCTTAAAGTCGGGCGGGACCGACTTTATGATACCATACACCACTTTGCTAATTTTGTAGAGCTCCACATAAGAATTAAAAGATTTTATAGGAGAATTTATTCGTACACGTTATGATTATAATTTTAATTTTAAATATGCCGAAGCATTTGTATCTTTTAAATTCGGACTTGTATTGCCCATTTGGTGCAAAATTTATTGGAATTCAGATAAAGATATGTATGGGAGCTATATCCAAATCTGAACCGATCTCGATAAAATTTGGCAAATATATTTCTGAGCTGTATTCGATATATTTCCCTTTCCCTTTTCCCATCGTTGTTACGGAGTGCATATTACGGCTGTGGGTAACAAATACAACAAATCGGCTGAACAATATATGTGTGAGCTATAGCTATATCTAAACCGATCTTCACCAAATTTGGCATACTAGCTTCTAGACTCAATCCGGTCGCATGTGCCAAATTACATCCCATTAAGATTAATCGGACGAAGTTATATATGGGAGCTATATCCAAATCTGAACTGATCTCGATCAAATTTAGCAAAGGTATTTCTGAGCTGCATTTTATATATTTCCCCAAATATTGTTTTTACAGAGTGAATATTACGGCTGCGGAGGATAAAAATAACAAATCGGATGAACAACATATATGGCAGCTAGAGCTATATCTGAACCGATCTTCACCAAATTTGGCGTACTTATTTTCAGTCCTAACTTGGTTGTTTGTGCAAAATTCCATACTATTCGGGCTGATATTACACGTTTGGTGCACAATAAAAAACAAATCGAGCGAAGATATATATGGGAGCTATATCTAATTTTTTTACCGATTATCTCCAATTTCAATAGGGTTCGTCCTTGGGCCAAACAAATGTTGTTTGGAAAATTTAATCTCAATCGGATAATCAATGCGACCTGCATTTTGTTCACAAGGATACATGGACAGACGGACGGACGGACTGACATGCATAAATCATCTCAGAAAGTGATTCTATGGAGATCTTCAAAAGTAACTATGGGTCTATCTCGCTTCCTTCTCCATGTTACACACAAATGCACAAAGACATAATACCCTTACCACTATGTGGTGTAGGGTATAAATACGGAAATTTCCATTAAACCTCGAATATATTTAATTCTAGCGAAATCGCAAATTCACGACAAGGGCAAGACTGGGCATTGTGAAAAACACTTTGTCTCTCTACGTCCACATGTTGGTTAATATTTCACTTAACATTTACTTAGAAATTTTCCACAAAAGCCTGTCCACAATTTTTTGGATCGATTCTATTGGAATGTACGGCCTTTACACGATAAATGTGAAAAACCTTTCATATTAATTCATTCCATCGTTGAAAAAATTTCAATGTTCTAGACTCAGAACACATTTTCTATATTTTTCTTTGAAACGTAATATTTGTTCTACTCATTTTATTAACACATTTTAAAATTCACATTGTCATTTTGAAGTCACGTTTTTTCTATTCTTTTGTTGTTCTTTGTAATCGAATACCGCGTAAATATTTAACTTCATGTGATCGTCGAGCCCACAGACGATACGTCACCACAAAATATTGTGAATTTAATATTAGTGCACACACGCACACACATTGTAATTATAAACCATGTCTAGACATCTATCTGTTGAACAAGTGAATCAGCACAAATTTGAAATAAAACAAAAAATACCTTTTTGTTAAGACGAAATTTAAATTTTGCGATATGTGTTTTCAAAAGCAACAATACACACACAAACATTTATACGAGGAGAAATTTAATGAATTTGCATTTCTTGGTAGGGGATTTGTCCAACGTAATTTTGTTTAATAATTTCAATAGTATTATGTTACATATTTTCATACCATGGCTAATGAAGGTGTAATTTTTGGTAAGGTTGAAAACAGAGAAAATATGAATAATTACAGTGTTGCTATTATTGTTACTTAAAGTAAACAATTAACACACAAAATTTCCAATTTATTGAAATTATTTACCACGGAATGATTGTTGTTGTGCTCTGCTTGCTATGTGAGCCCTTCTGCTGTTGGCTGGCCCGAAAGTGTGGGTGTGTTCAATGCATAAGCAATGAGCATGTTTAAGCTTTAATTCGTTTGAATGTTAGGATTTATTTAAAACCGCTTTTAATAAATGATATACTTGTTAACCGATTTTAATACCGTTCGTCTGCTTTGCTATTGTGCTATGCATTTAATTTAAGCCTTGACTAATATTTATGCCGCTTTAATGCAATGTTTATTTATTTTTTTGATTCTCTGTCTAATAGAAGTTTTTTTTTAATGATTTTATAGATCTTGCAATCCCATGGAACTACTACAGACCGTACTCGCCTTCGTCTCCATTTGCAACGCTCGAGGTGCCAAGGTAAGTTATTGATATTGAATACATTTGTTGTGTTAAGCCTGAAAGTATGCTACAGTTTAAGGCAATATGTTGAGGAAAAGCCTGAAATTTAATTAAATTAGCTTTATAAAAGTCATTGTGATGTGAAAAATAAATAAAAACTCTATGTACCGGCTTCCATATAACATCTGAGGGGAGGTCAAGTTAAAGCCCAACCGGTTTGGACCAAACTTGGCAGACTTAGTTCTAGTAGAAACTTGATCGTGTAATCCAAAATTCAATGTTAATGAAAGGACGAATAAAAAAATTTCTATAAAAGAGGAGAGAAATTCATATGGGATCGATATATAAATCAGATTCGAATTCGAAAATTGGACAAAACACATTTTTTGACTAGGGCATATTACGGTTTGTATATGATCTCCGCATATTAAAGTTTTAAGGGATTTAAATATCAAGATATATATGGAACCTATATACATATTTAAAATGGCAAATTACAGGTGTAATTAAGCGCAGTTATTTAATTTTTATACCCTACACCACAAGGTATTATGTCTTTGTGCATTTGTTTGTAACTGGCAAAAGGAAACGATATAGACCCATAGACCCGAATAGTATGGAATTTTGCACATACATCAAATTAGGCCTGAAAATAAGTATGCCAAAGTTGATTGAAATCGGTTCAGATATAGCTATAGCTCCCATATATTTTGTTCATACGATTTGTGGTATTTGTTACCCACAGCCGTGATATGCACTCGGCAACAACGATTTTCAGGGAAATATATCAAATACAGCTCAGAAATATCATTGCCAAATTTTATCGAGATCGGTTCAGATTTGAATATAGCTCTCATATATATATTTATCTGATTTCAAATTAATTTTGCACCAAATGGGAAATATAATTCCGAATTTAAAAGATACAAATGCTTCGGCATATTTAGTTCTTTGAATTTTTAATTATAATTATAATCATAGGGTGTATGATTGAATTCTCCCATAAAAACTTTTAATTGTTATGTGGAGCTCAACCAAAGTGGTGTAGGGTATCATAAAATCGGCCCCGCCCGACTGTAGGACTTTCTTTACTGGTTTTTATTTGGTATGTTAAGATGATTTCATAAGCATACGAAATTTTTTGTCATAGGTTGTAGTGCCCATTGCGAACTTCAAATACGAAATTTGTTACAATTACGGCGAATAATCTCGCAAAAATTGTGAAAATACGGTGTATCGGGAGATACCGTCATATGGGGGTTATACGAAGCCGTGGACCTGCATACCATTTTTTTTCTGCCATAGGTTGTAGTACCCATTAAGAGCTTTCAATACGAAATTTGAAACGATTCCGGTGAATAATGTTGCTGAAATCGTCAAAATACTGAATATCGGTAGGAGGTAGCGTTATAGGGGGGCTATACGGAGACGTAGACCTGCATACAAAAATTTTTTCATAGGCTGTAGTACTCATTACGAACTTCAAATACGAAAAATTCCGGTAAATAATGTCGCTAAAATCATCAAAATACCGAATATCGGGAGGTACCGTTATGTGGGGGCTATACGAAAGCGTGGACCGACATGGCCCATTAATCTGACTACTGGTAAACTATGGAGTATGCAAAATTTTAGCCTTCTATCTCAATTCGACAGACAGACGGATGGATAGACAGACAGACAGACGGACATCGTTAGATCGTCTTAGAACTTTACGCTGACCCAGAATATATATACTTTGAAGGGTATATTATAAATAATTCTAGGAGTTACAAACGGGATGACAAAGTTAGTATACCCTCCATAGAATGATGTAGGGTATAAAAACAATTATTTTTATGCGTTTAAATGGTGTAGAATCGACATTTGGAAAAGGCTCTCCACTAGGCTGTGCTTGGGTCGCAATTTCTGAAAAAGGACCTAAGCTTAGTAGGGTAGGTCAAAGGAAGTGTAGAAAGGTATCGATATTCGAGGGTGATAGTTTCATAAAAACAAAAAGTGTTAAAAGTCTTTAAAGTTTGCGAAAAGGGTATGAGTCATAGATCGATCCTCAAAAAAAAAAAAAAAAAAAAAAAAAAAAAATCACAGAAATGTCTATTTGCGTTTATATGGTGTAAGACCAACAATTTAAAAGGCTCTCCTCCAAGCTTAATAGTTTTATATATATATATATATATATATATATATATATATATATATATATATATATATATATATAAAACTATTAACCTTGAATATCGATTCCTTTCACATCCTTTAACCTAGGTTCTAGGTCATAGCTTGTGACCAAGCCAACTAAGCTTGGAGGAGAGCCTTTTAAATTGTTGGTCTATATATATATATATATATATATATATATATAGACCAACAATTTAAAAGGCTCTCCTATATAAAACTATTAACCTTGAATATCGATTCCTTTCACATCCTTTATATATATATATATATATATATATATATATATATATATATATATATATATATATATATATATATATATATATATATATATATATATATATATATATATATATATTATATATATATATTATATATATATATATATATATATATATATATATATATATATATATATATATATATATATATATATATATATATATATATATATATATATATATATGCAAATATCCATATTAATTGTAGGCCGGCTGAATAAGAGAGCATTTCTTCCACAAAGATGAAACAGTCATTCACTGAAACAGTTAGCCTGTTCTCAATACTCCCCCAAAGGGAGACTTCGCTCATTTGCGGGCTCTCATAGACGAACTTAAGCCGAAAACCTTCTTATCTATGCGAACTGAAGCAGGGAGTCTTCGCTCATAGGCGACCTGAAGCAGGGAGCCTTCGCTCATAGGCGACCTGAAGCAGGGAGCCTTCGCTCATAGGCGACCTGAAGCAGGGAGCCTTCGCTCATAGGCGACCTGAAACAGGGAGCCTTCGCTCATAGGCGAGTTTAGTTTTTTGTTGCCTGGAAAAATATTATGGTGCATCTACTTAGATCAAGGCCGGGCAGAGAGAGATAAAGAGATAGTGCATATAGTTACTCTCTTTAAAGGCACGCGTTCCTGTACAGAGTTGCCCATATTCGACGGACCTTTGGGCCCATTCCAATCGACGAGGCTTGTCCGCAGGCAACATTCTTTGCGTCAATTGAATTTTGTACGGGAACAAATGAAAATAAATGCGAATAATCCGTTGTAAAGTGGACCGAGCCATGCCCAACTGCTGCGAACGGCGTTTTTGGGATGTTCTTGGGGACCTTTCAACACTGGCTCGTACGGCAGCGATATTCTCGACCGACCACCTTGGTAGACTTTTGTATGGCCTCTTCGAATTAGAAAGAGCCTTACCAGTCGAAAATTTTTCGTATAAACGTTTAATGGTGTTCTTGGAATGCACACTTCTCACATTTTTTAATGTTTTAAAAGCACGTTGAGTTTTCACAATTGACTTCTTCTGTTGAATTTAAATTTCAACTATTTCAGAGCGCTCGCGTTGCGTGTATTGTTTCATGGTAAAAATCTGCTTGGACTGACGCTTCAAACGCGGTATGTCATTAAGCGATGTGACATCTCTGTCAAAAGTTATGGCGATGCCAGATGGGTCCGTCGAATATGGGCAACCCTGTATTAGATAGAATTCTGAATAAATAAAATAACCAGAATTAGATATTTAAGTACTTTGTACCAAATATAGGGCATATCATTTTTTATTTGCCAATCTCAAATTAGTCTCAAATTATTTTCTTTTTCCCCTTGCAGGTACCCAAGATTAGATGTGAAATTAATTGGCTATGCCTCGTTTGCACCGATTAATCAACCAGAAGCCCAACCAGATACTGTCTATGCTAGTCTTAAAGATAAACTATTCAATTTAACGCATAAAACCAGTTCCAGTGAAGCCGATAGCGAATCAACCACACAAATATCCTCAGCCGCCAATAATCATTTGCAGGAGGTCAGCAGCGATCCGGAAGATGAAGAAGAACATTTACACCACAAGCGACATTTGAAAGGACAACAGTTGAAAGAAACCATTGAAGATGTCGAGGAGCAGGAGGAAGAGAATGGAGAGACCGAAACTGTTGAAGACGATAATGAACAAATCGAAGATAGCGAAGCAGAAGAAGTAATGCCAGCCGAAACGGTTGAATATAATTATAGAAATCATCCCAGACATCGTCGTCATCATCATCGTGAGCATCATGAGAAGCTGGGACAGCAGCATTATCGTCGTAATCATGAAAAACAGGAACATCGTCCGTTACGGGATAATAATGAAAAGACTATTTTTGAGGATTCCGTTACACCCCATAATGATTATGACAATGTCCATCATCCTCATCGACGTCACCGTTTCAGTACCGAACAGTCAGCAGATCCGGTTGAACTCACCATTGAAGCGGAGCAACATGAAACAAAACTCTTGCAACATATTGTCCATAAGTTACAACAAGAACAAAAACAATTATTGTTATTGCACCAACAACAAGAGCAGACGCCAACTTATGCAATTTAGATGCCACTGAAATGAGATTAAGAGATCTAAATCATTCCTCAACAGGGTCATTTTGAAACCCCGTTTTCCGTATTCCAGAAATTGAATATTGAGCTTGCCATGCACTCGCCTCTACATTTCTTTTAAAGATTGGTCCTCAGAGAAAAAGTGATTCACTGGATTTTGTGATCCGATACCATTCGAGGTCATTCCGAAACATTAAATAATTAGACCTCCACAAAATACCATGAAAATTTTAGGCCTCCATTAGGAAAGCTGCAGCACTGGGGAAATTTCTCCAAGCAGTCCCTAATGGAAAGCAAAATATCATGCATTTAAAAAAAATCAAAGAAAAAATTAATTTCAAAATATCAAATGTCGTTTACCATAAAATTTTATTAATAATTTTAAATTGAGCAACATTTTCGAAATCAAAACAATATTTTAACAATATTCTACATATCATTTATTTGAATATTTCCCCCGTTAGTTTTAAGCCTATATCGTAGGTCTATTTATATGAAATAAGTAACGAAGGCTGGTTTACTTAAACGAAACATTTCAGATGCATACGCAAAGGTATTGGAAATAAGGCTATTTCAATAAATGTGGTGTAATATTAAATATTTAACAACAATATATAATAAAATTAAACAACATTAAAAAAATACTGAAATTATGAGGAAACCTTGCTGCACTTCCTGTGATTATTTATTGAAGAAACAAAGAAAAAATTCAACAGCAAAATATTGAAAAAAAAAAAAAAAAAAAAACAAATGTGGTTGATTCTGTTATTGATAATATAGAGATTACTAATTATAAAAGCAATATAAAATAACCAGAATTCTTTGTAATTTTAAGAGTAATATTTTCAAATTGGCACAAGAAATACAAAAATATCAATATTCAAATTTGTAGATGTAAAGTTTCGAAAACTTTACTAAAAATAAACACACAATTAACGCTATAAAATATTAAACATTTTATTCCAAACAATTTTATTTTATTATATAAAATATTAATTGATTACAGCTCATTTATCTCAAAAAAAAAAAAAAAAAAAAATGTTTGAATTCAATTATTTTTTCATGAATAATAATTTTAAGTGTAAATATTGTTTTACGTAAGCTATCTCTATATATTTGTTTATGATAACGATTTGTTGTTATATGAGTACTACAGATATCTATTTAACTGAACTAATATTATATTTAATATATTTTTTATTTACTTAATTATGGTATAAGTTTTTTTTTTTAATTTTTATTTAATAACAATATTTTAAGCTACCAGTCTGAAAAGAATAAAATTCAATTTTTGTCCATTAAAAGGTGAAGTTTCAATTGTTCAATTCAGGACGTTTAAGGAATTGAAGGATAAGTAGAATAGTATCTTAAACAAGATTTTAAAGGTTTTTAAATTCATAAACGTGGATTTATTAAAAAAATTTAGGAAAGGTAAAATAGGTCCATAATCTTGGATTTTTTCAAAGATTTTAAGGAGAAGTAATAATGCTCCATTAACGTAGATGTTTTAAAGATGTGCATACACTCGGATTTTTTAAAGATTTTTAGGAGATGTAAAATGGGTCCATAAGCGTGGATTTTTTTCAAAGATTTTAAGGAGAAGTAAAATGGATCCATAAAAGTGGATTTTTTTTTTTAAAGTTTTAGGAGAAGTATTACAAGCCCATAAACCTGGATTTTTAATGAGGTCCATAAAAGTGCATTTTTTCAAGATTTTTAGGTCCATTAACTTAGATGTTTTAACGATTTTTAGAAAAAGTAAAAAAAAAGTAAAAAAATTAGGATTTTTTAAAAATTCTTAGGAGAAGTGAAATAGGTCCATAAACGTTGATTTTTTGAAGATTCTTAGGAGAAGCGAAATAGGTCCATAAACGTGGATTTTTTTAAAGACTCATAGGAGAAGGAAATTGGTCCATAAACGTGGATTTTTTGAAGATTCTTGGAGAAGTGAAATTGGTCCATAAACGTGGATTTTTCAAAGATTCTTAGGAGAAGTGAAATAGGTCCATAGACGTGAATCACAAACAAAAAATAAGAGAAGTAAATGAGGTCAATAACCCTTAATTAAAAAAATAGGTGGAAAAGGGGTCCAAAAGTGTAATTTTTTTAGATATATAGGATCGGGACAATTAGTACATAAACTTATATATACTTAGATTTTTTAATATTTTTAGGTGATGTAATAAAGGTCCGTAAACGTCGATTTTTTTAGATTTTTGTAAAGAGGTCCAAAAACGTAAGTTTTTTACATATTTTTAGAATTTTTAAAGGCTTTTAACAGAAGTAAATAAAAGTTTAATAAAAGTGAATTTTTTAAATATTTTTAGGAGAAGTAAAAGAGGACCATTAACGGGGATTTTGCATAGATTTTGCAGAGAACGTGGATTTTGCAAAGATTTTCAGGAGAAGTAAAATAGGTCCATAAGCGTGGATTTTTTAATGATTTTTAGGAGATAAACGTGGATTTTTTAAAAAGTTTTAGGAGAAGTAAAACAGGCTCACAAACCTAGATTTTTAATGAGTTTTAGGAGACGTAAAATAGGTTCATAAAAGTGGATTTTTTAAAGATTTTTAGGAAAAGTTAAACAGGTCCATTAACTTAGATATTTTAAAATATTTTAAAGATTTTTATAAAGAGTAAAAAAATGTCCATACACTAGGATTTTTTTAAAGATTTTTGGGAAAAGTAAAATAGGTCCATAAACGTAAATTTTTTTAAAAGATTTTTAGGAGAAGTAAAATAGTTTCATAAACTTGGATTTTTCTAAAAGATTTTTAGAAGAAGTAAAATAGGTCCATAACCGTGGATTTTTCTTTAAGATTTTTAGGAGAAGTAAAACAGGTTCATAACCGTGGATTTTTTAAAGATTTTTAGAAAAAGTAATAAAGGCCCATAAACGTGTTTTTTTTTTAAATTTTTAGTAGAAGTAAAATAGATCCATAAACGTGGATTTTTCAAAGATTCTTAGGAGAAGTAACGTAGGTCCATAATCGTGAATTTTTCAAAGATGCTTAGGAGAATTAAACTAGATCCATAAACGTGGATTTTTTAAAGATTTTTAGGAGAAGTAAAATAGATCCATAAACGTGGATTTTTCAAAGATTCTTAGGAGAAGTAACGTAGGTCCATAATCGTGAATTTTTCAAAGATTCTTAGGAGAAGTAAAATAGATCCATAAACGTGGATTTTTAAAGATTCTTATAAGAAGTGAAATAGGTCCATAAACGTGGATTTTTTAAAGATTCTTATAAGAAGTGAAATAGGTCCATAAACGTGGATTTTTTAAAGATTCTTATAAGAAGTGAAATAGGTCCATAAACGAGGATTTTTTAAAGATTCTTATAAAAAGTGAAATAGGTCCATAAACGTGGATTTTTTAAAGATTCTTATAAGAAGTGAAATAGGTCCATAAACGAGGATTTTTTAAAGATTCTTATAAGAAGTGAAATAGGTCCATAAACGTGGATTTTTTAAAGATTCTTATAAGAAGTGAAATAGGTCCATAAACCTGGATTTTTTAAAGATTCTTATAAGAAGTGAAATAGGTCCATAAACGAGGTTTTTTTAAAGATTCTTATAAGAAGTGAAATAGGTCCATAAACGAGGATTTTTTAAAGATTCTTATAAGAAGTGAAATAGGTCCATAAACGTGGATTTTTTAAAGATTTTGCGGAAAAGTAAAATAGGTCCATAAACCTGGATTTTTTTAAAGATTTGTTGGAGAATTAAAATAGGTCCATAAACCTGGACATTTTAAAGATTGGTTGGAGAATTAAAATAGGTCCATAAACGTGATTTTTTTTAAAGATTTTTTAGAAGAAGTAGAATAAGTCCATAAATGTGGAAGTAAAATAGGTCCATAAGCGTGGATCATTTTTAAGATTCTTAAGAAAAGTAAAATAGGTCCATAAACGTGGATTTTTTAAAGATATTTAGGAGATTTTTCAAAGATTTTTAGGGAAAGTAAAATAGGTCCATAAACGTGGTTTTTTAAGATATTTAGGAGATTTTTCAAAAATTGTAGGAAAAGTGAAATAGGTCAAGAAACGTGGATTTTTTTTAAAGATTTTTAGGGAGAGAGGTTCATAAACGTGAATTTTTAAAAGGTTTTAGGAGAGGAGGTCCATAAACATGGACTTTGAAAGGTTTTAGTAGAGGAGGTCCATAAACATGGACTTTTAAAGATTTGTTGTAGAAGAGTTGCATAAACGAGGATGTTTAAAGGTTTTTAGGAAAGGAGGTCTATAAGTGTGGATTTTTAAAGGGTTTTAGGAAAGGAGGTCCATAAACGTAGATTTTTTTAAAAAGATATTTAAGAGAAGTGAAAAATGATCATAAACGTGGATTTTTAAAGATATTTAAGAGAAGTGAAAACGTGAATTTAAAGATATGTAAGAGAAGTGAAAACGTGGATTTAAAAATATTTAAGAGAAGTAAAAATGTTCATAAACGTAGATTTTTTTAAAGATATTTAAGAGAAGTGAAAACGTGGATTTAAAGATATTTAAGAGAAGTGAAAAATGTTCATAAACGTGGATTTTTAATGATATTAAAGAGAAATGAAAAATGTTCATAAACTTGGATTTTTAAAATTTTAAAGTATTGAAAATTGTGATTCTTTGTGGGCGAGGTATCAGAGGGCTTCGCAGATATAACCCTATGTGGGGAAGGTACCAGATGAAATGGTCCGATCTCTACCATATTTATAAAAGATCTTGGGTTGATGGAAATATTGAGATGTACGAAATCTGAATGGAATTGGATGTTAATATCGTGGTTAAAGTTTTAATGATTTGGACGAAATCGGATACTTTCTTCGAGTCAGACAGCCAGACGGTCGGACATAGCTAGATCGATTCCAAATGTCCTGAAACGGATTTGATCCAATGATACCTTTCAATACCATGGGGTATTATATTCGGGGCGGCCTATTGTTTTGGAAGATGTACGCAAAATATTGAGGATTGAAAAGGGCTCATAAACCTGTTTGAATTTTGCAGGATCCATTCAGTTCTCAACTAAGAACCAATAGACATGACATTTTTAGTTAGGTTATAGTTTAGGACAGCACTGAAGGCTAGCATTTTGGAAGGTCATTACATAATATTTTACTGCTGAAATGAACAACTATTTTGCGAAATGAACTAAATGTCAAATTAGAGAAATGTGTAAGGTTCACCTCTGACCTTTATATTGATGCTGATTTCGTTGAAGAATATAACCAAATATTGGAGATATGAGAAATCGTATGGAGTAATCCAAATTCTTAAAAATTGTTTTGAATACCCATTGGGCATATGGTAAGACCTAGAAAATATATATTATATATATTATATTATATGTAGATGACCGAAAGTAGCAATGGGTCTAGCTCTTTTCTGTTTGCAAATTATTACCAAAAGCATATTTTGAAGTTTTACTTAAAATTCCAAGAGATATATTATTTGCGTTTCCTTTTTACCATTTCATCTATAATTATATGATGCAGTTATAGTAAATATCTGTCTTTAATGTGTTTTTTTCAAACTCCCGCAAGAATTAACCACTTGGGACCGGAAATGCATTGCAGGGTGTAATGTACATTTCCTGTTTTAATGCTAACCATTTTATGAAACATCCATTAGCAAGGTAAAAGCTTTTAATTGTCAAAGCTTTCAAAGCTACACATTATTGCTCTGAAAGCTCTAAAGTACTCTGAAACATATTCTCATTGGCACAAT